GGGCTTGGAGAATAACAGGCTCTTCTGAACGATTGAAAACGCTTTTTTGGGGATTAAAAAAGGTGCTGCCCGGCGGGGCAATACTGTCGAGGCAAAATCTTACGAAGCTGGCGCTTACGGGGTTGCCATACTTGCTTGAAACTAGCACTTCCTCAGAAATGCTGAAGGTCTTCTTTGCACGCAGGGATGGTGACTGCAGCTGCCAAGGCAATACATCTTAGTTGGCGAGGCATCCGAGTAGTCAATATTTGCGCATGACGGCACCCACAATGTATAAAAGGTTAAGCACGCCTAGAAACAATGCTTAGGAAGCAGTGGGGTGCTGAAGCATCCAGTTTCATTCGCGGAAACTTGAACGCGTTCCCCCTGCGACACCTTAGGTAGATTTAAACCCTACATGCTGTTACCTTGTTCCTTCATTGATGCGATTAAGACGGTAATTGTATTTGTGTACGACGTGAAATGAAGAAGTAACACATCATTAAAAGAGGAATCAGAGTAAATCATTCCTGACCTAGGCTGTAATTCTCTGGGATTTCGCTCAAGCGCCTTTTACTCTTCCGTGTTACCTCTGCCGCGCTATGCCCGGCCACCTTGGGCCGTTGACTATAACCTGACCACCGCACTCATACGTCAGCATCCCACTGGCTCTAGCTGTGCAAAATGTGTAGCGGATCTCGGCCGGGGTGCAAAGAAAGCTCAGACAGACTAATCGCAAAGGCTACACAGACAGGGCTCAGAGAACGGCTAGATACTACAAGCTGCACAGCGAGGGTAAGGGCTACGGGCTGGCACTGATTTTGCAGCCAGAAACTCCTCTGTGCACATCGGGGGATCAGGTTTTGTGGAAAGACCGTAGGTCTACTTTGGTCCTCTGCAGAATTTCCCGCTCCTCAGTTAATCCCCTTACGTATATGTACGGAGTCGGTGGGATCCTACTCAGTGTAGGTTACCCGGCAAAAGGAATCTGCGTAAGGTAAAGTGTGGCTTCGGCTCAATGAAAGGTGTAACAACCTCACAAAGCCCTAAAGCTGACTCTCAATGGCACTCTCGGCACATTCGAGCTAAACTTTCAGTTTACAGTCAGAGACCATATACATTCACATTTGAAGTCCGAAATAAGGGACGATCTTAAAGGCACCTCAAGAAACAATTTTCGTACACAGGTGACCAGTGCTGCTGTTGCCTTTAGCTGCTGCTAGGCACGATTCCCACGTTCTGGAGTCCGGTGAGAGAGCCCTTGTACCCGTAGGGTGCCACACTTTTGGTCATTCTCTCCTCAAAAGGCCTAAAAGGTCTCTAGGGCTATATTTATAGCAAGAGGGACCTGACCATTACTGTGGCTGGTACTGCACGAGCCTCGGTTGGGCGCCTGGCCAGATTTCGTTTTCTTACCTAGTCGGCATATCACCACCATAATTCCAATGAGTGTCTTAACACCTCAGAACGGTAACATGTTTGATCTGTGGGCAAAAAGAACTCCACACTAACCACCCCACGGCGCTGTGTTACAAGAAGAGCCACGGGCAGCCCCGACCTAGGCCTGGCACTATACCTCAGCACGCATGGAGGCATTGACGGCTTTGGCTTTTTTGCAAGCACAGCATGAAAGTACCTTAAGTAGTATTTTAGTTTGTACGGAGAGCTGCTGTGCGTTGGAGGTTCACCCCGTGAAGTGCCCAGGCCTACGCCTACCCCCGTATTCTTGCGTTGGGTTGAGGGCGGTCCTGTGTGTGGCTTTGGGCTAGCTGTCCAGTTTGCTGATGCATCAAGTAAAGATCATTTAATGACAGTTGGCTTTTCTGCAAGCGGATACGCTGCGGGGTTTGATGGTGAGGAGCCACTTCGGGTGCTTGTGTTGTCGTTGTAGTTCGGTTTGCTGTATGTACCTTTGCTGGCTCCGCGGCCCTGCAGTCTGTCCATTCGAGGAATCTTAAGTGAAATTCAAATTCAAATCTGGTACACCAACACACAGCTAAGATGCCCCACCACGTGCTGGCTATGGGGACGGTGTTGGCGGCCCTGGGGGCCAAGGCAGCTGGGTCCGCTGTGGACCCGGCAACCTTCATTACCACAGGGGCTGCGCCCCTAGGCAAAGGGATGGGCTCTGCGCTGCTTTCTGTGAAGGCTGGAAAGGCAGCAGCAGCGGCTGCTGCCCCAGCGGCGAGCTCCTTCCTTGCTCACGGCGGGGGAGACGCAGCAACACAAGCAGCAGCAGCAGGAACCTCTGCACTAGTAGCCAAAGCACCTTCGGCGGGGGCTTTGACTGGGTCTGCGGCTACTGCATCGAAAGGAGCGGCGACACTTCTGGCCAAGGGCAACGCAGGCGGCGCCGCTGCTAAGGCAGCCGCGGGCCCCGCAGGAGTGCAAACAGCAATGTTGAAGACCTCACAGAAGGTCTGTCTGGCCAAGAAGAAAGCAGCTGTGGCGAAGGTCAAGCCCGGGGGGGCTTCGGGCTCCAGTTCTGCGGCCAAGGGCAGCAAGGCGACGGCGAAGGCGCACGGGAAGTCGTCGGCGGGCGGCAAAGCAGCAAAGGGAGGCGAAAAGAGCGCGGGATCCAAAGGGGGAGAAGCAGCGCATGCAAAGCATGCAGAAGGCAAAGGAAGCGGCGACGGCGGCCACAAAGGACATGAGTCCGGGCATTCACACAGCAGCAGCAGCGGGCACCATCACCGCCACCACCAGTCGCACCACACAGAAGGTGCGCGCGGAGGTGGAGGCGGGGGAAACAGTGGCTTTCCCTCCACCAATGACCATTCATATTCTGGGGATTACGGCAATGGGGAAAGTGGGTACTACGGAGAAGAAGAAGTGATGCCAGGCCCTCTGGGGCCTTCTTCCAAGGCTGGGTTTCTGCAAGTCCATCAGGGACCTGCTGACGCCGGCTCTGCAGCTACGGCCGCCTCGTTCACGGGTACTTCCCACACAGCCACTACAGCAACTACAGCAACCCACACCGGGACAGCAGCAGCAGCAGCAGCAGCAGCAGACCACGCCGCCGACGTTGCCACAGCTGTTCCGCCCGGAGATATGGGAGCTTCTGTCGTGGACCCGTCAGCGGCAGGCGGGAATTTAACTGGCGGCGACATGGGGCTCTCCGCCGACCCCGGGGCGGAAGCTGCAGCAGTTGAGGAGGTGGCGACGGGCCCGTCCAAAGGGTCTGCTATTCTAAAGGGGCTGATGCAAGGGGCCCTGGGTATGGAAGGCTCTGAAGAACAGGGCCTGCTGCAGAGCGTGTCGCAGCAAGCGGGCTACAACATCTTTGGGAGCGTGCTGGACAACTCGCCCGTGCTGGGTGGCGCCGCCGCCATCATGGGCGCAGCAGCCATGGACCCCACGGCCGCGGGCGCTGACTACGGGATGGGAGATGTTGACACGGAACTCGTAGAAGAACAGACTATGGCGGTGGCTGCGTTCCTCCCGACGCTCTTCGGCCGGCTCTCAGGCCTTGGGAATCCTCCCAAAGGCCCAAGCACAGCCAAAGCTGACAGCCGGCTGCGGAGGAGCGACTCTGCAGTGTCCACTGTGTGCTCGAGCGACGGCGCTCTCTCAGATGGAAGCCCCAACTCATATCCTGAGCATTTATCAGCGCGGCGAGTCATCAGATCCCGTATGGACCTCCGGAAGATCAGCTATGCAGCCTTTCTCTGCTGACGGGCGCGTACATGGAAGTGCACGCACACTTGTGGGCAATACACACCGTCGACAGCACGCCTTCAAGTGTAACATATGTTAGCTGGCGGCACAGCTTAGGAGCCGGGACTGTCCAGTGCCTAGGCTAAATCAGTTTGTAGAAGGGCCGCCAGCCGTATACTGTTTTCACAAATTGCTTACTTGCTGCGGGGAGCAAAGACACAATAGCGACATGTTAATTGTCTAGAACAATGGGACACCGTAGCCCGTTAAACAAATTTGCGAGGCCCTGCGTTGCCGGCGAGGCCTCCAGAAGGAAACTGTCCGTTTCCTCTCTTCCGCCTAGTTTGCCTGTAAAGGCCCCCACGCAATTTGTGGAGAGCCGCAAACTCACCAGTGTTGCACTGTGTTCAGCTAGGTGCTCCGTTATGCACACTTGACTACAGCGCTGCTGCTGTGGCCGGCTCAGGTGTCGTCATTGGGTGCTGTTTGGGAGTTTCGTGACGCATTAATGGCTGAATAAAGGGCGCTGCCCATAGAAGAAACTACGGCGATAAGGGCCGTGGCTACCGTAGGAAGCGTAGCGGCAGATGTGCTGCTGAACAATACCGTTCTCTTTCCGATGTGGCCTGAGGCTTGGGGACATGGCGGAGGCCTTTCTGCCTACGTATGTTCCCCAAGGGCTCCCCACTAACTCCGAAACTTTTTGAAGGCCATCTATTTCAAGTTCCAAAAAACGCGCTCCATCTGCGGTTCCTCAGTGCGCCTAGCGGCTAACGGAGGCACAAGTCGCGATACAAGTGCAGACAAAAAAGCAAAATTGTTGCCATGCAACAAGCTTTTAAATTGACGTTGCTACTGAGGCCGGGCAAGATGCACACAATGGGTTTCACCAACACCTCAACACTATAAAAATTTGGGTGAAGTCACGCATCTTTGAGGCTGCGCTGCGCGCAGCAACAACCCCGCGCACCACTCCTTGCCTTCTTCGGCTCTTGAAAATTGGAGCCCCGGGGCTACATTGCTGAGGCACAGATATGACAGGCTGTCTGGGGGTAAGGCGGCCTGCCCAATGCAGCATGCATAAAGCGCGGCAGAAGAGCAAGAAACATAATAGGCGCTTTAAAGCAGATACAGAAGGCCCAGAATCCAAACAGAGAGTACAACCGGCTGCAAACAGCCCGCCAGCACAACCCCGAAAGAGCCCTTGACGGATGCTCCGACAGAAGCAAATAAGGAGCCTTCCTCCTTCGTTGCCTATGTAGTGGAAGAAGGCCCCAACATTGTAGCATCCACCTAGCAATGTTTGTAGAGAGGAGCTGGAAAGTAGATAGCATCCCACTAAGCTGCGGTTCGAGTTGACGCCTTCATTTCTTGGCGCCAAAAAGGCCTCCCCCAGCAGCCGGCTGCTGTGTGCTGCCAAAGAGACCCCCGCCAGTCTGGGCACCCTTGTTTGCCCCAAAGAGGCCTCCAGTCCCCTGATTGGCAGTAGAGGCCGCGAAAAACCCTCCTGCATTCTGCGTCCCTGTAGAGGACCCAAAAAGGCCACTGCCTTGTGTGCTTGTGGATGTCCCCAGGAGGCCCCCAGCATTTCCTTGCTGACTGTTAGTGGAGGCTCCGAATAAACCCCCTCCTGAAGTAGTTGTCTGCTGTGTTGTGCTGCCAAAGAGGCCCCCTGTCGTGCCCGCAGCGGGAGTCGCCGAAGAGGTTCCAAAAAGACCCCCACCTCCTGCATTTTGCTGCCCTGTGGATGTGCCACCGAAAAGGCCCCCACCTTGCGCATTCTGCTGCCCTGTGGATGCCCCGAAAAGGCCCCCTGTGGAAGGTTGTTGCTGCTGCTGCTGAATGTTGCCAAACAGACCTCCACCTCCGCCCTGCGTGCCTGTGGAGGCCCCGAAAAGACCCCCTCCCCCAGCAGCAGTGTTTGTTGTGGACGGCGCCCCTGGCGCTGCCGAGCCAAAGAGGCCTCCTCCCCCTGTGCTGGAGGCCCCAAAGAGGCCCCCGCCTGGTGCTGTGGTTCCTGCTGCGGTCTGACCCCCCGTACCAGCCGTATTGTTCGAGGCACCAAAGAGGCCCCCTCCACTTGATGTCCCAAAGAGGCCTCCGGTGCTAGGGGTGCCCTGTTGCTGTTGCTGACCCGTATTTTGTGTGCCGAAAAGCCCTCCCCCGCCTGCCGAGGCACCCCCAAAAAGACTCGTAGCGCCTCCCTGTGGGGCCCCCGCAGATCCAAGGAGGCCACCTCCAGCGCTCGTGCTTGGCTGCTGGCTGCTTCCGAAAAGAGAACCACTACTTCCAAGTAGTCGACCTCCGCCTACACTTTGAGGTGCTTTGTCTCCTATTGCACTGGCACCACCCAACAAGGAGCCTGGGGCCGTCCCACCTGAAAACCCAACACAAAACACTGTAGCCGCTTTTCACATGATGAACGCGCCGGCAGTACTAGTAGCAGTAAGAAAACGCAGGACCTGTAGCAAAGACCCTCCACAGCTGAAGTTATTTTACCCTGACTGCGCTGCATGTCTTCTGTCTTCTCATCTTCGCTAGCTGGCAACAGCTTTATGCCTGCTTGCTCGAGGGCTTCTTGCGCCTCCTGCACTGCCTCAATCAGTACCAATGCCTGCATCCAGGCAACAGGGACCACAGGAGCACAGCAGGAACATGAAAGATCTTTCAGGCGCACGTAAGAACCCCGGAACTGAACAACGGTCTGGACGGCACACAATGTTACTGGGGCCAAGGGCATGAGCAAATCGGGAAGCCCAGAACAGCACAGTGCCCTATGTACCCTCTTCGATGCATTTAGTAAGAGGTCTCGCTGGGCCGCGACGATTTCGGCTATCAAGACGCCATCTGCTCTTCTGGGAGAGGCGCCCCGTCCAGAGGCCAGTGAGGCCTCTTGTTGACCATTCCCGTCAACGAGAGGCCCCCCATCGCCATCGCCAGGCTCTCCCTCTTGGGCACACCGCAGCTCCTGCAGCTGAGCTTCAAGAAGAGAAAGTCGTTCTCGTGCCGCCCCAACATACTGCAAGAGCTGCTGGATGCAGGGTGTGGACAGAGCGCAGGGTATCTGCGGAAATGCAGACAAACATGGCTTCAAGCCCTGATCCTCAAATCCTGAAAACTGAACTGCGCAGTTTCATCGCAACTCCCTGGGTAATTTGTCCACACATGCATGCGCTGATGAGGCCACCAAAAGTCCTTGAACAGCGGTGATGCCAGGTTCCTAGTTGGGTACTAGCTAGCTAGGCAGTAACTACCTATGCGAGGTTGCTAGGTATACTAAACGGCCATTTGGCTGATTAGCAGCGGCTCCGGAGTCGCACCTGGAGCGGCAGTGCACAAGGCGCGTCAGCCGACTGCGCCCCCATTCCAGCGGCTGCGACTGCGAGGTTCTGCATGAGTTGCTGGTACAACTGTTCAACTTGCAAGCAGAAACTCTGCAAAATACAAAATACAAGAACGCGCGAGAGAAGGTGCACCGAAGGAGTCTATTTAAAAGAAACTCTTCGGACGTTCCCCTTGTATATCAGCAGCAACGACTACATAGCACACGCCAGCTCTGGAAAGTCCATATAAGCTCAAGGAGCTCCTCCTCAGGCTTTACAGCAGTCTTTCACAGGCCCCAGGGGACCCTTAAGAAGCCCGCATGGCCTCCAGCTGCCCAAACAACAAATTAAATAAGCTCTTCAGGCTTACCTTGTCCCTCTCTAGAAGAGGCTGCACTGCAGTTGTCTGCCGTTTCGTCACTGAAATGCGATGGCCTGCGGCTGCCACTCTCGCCGCCTCCGCCGCCAGGCCTCCCTCGAGTGACCCGAATGACCTGAAAGTAAAATGAAAACTGAAAAAGGACTCAATTTCCTTTACACTGGCGCATGCGGGCTGATGGCACTCTGGGTGTGTGCGGGACACCCGCCCAGCAAAGCGCAGCTGAGAAAGAAAGCCTCACTTTTTCAAAGCAAGAGTTTGAGCTTGCAAGGATTCTAGTTGTCTCTCCTGCTCCCTGAGCTGTACCTCCACCTCTCGGGCCCCCTGGGGCAGCTGCTGCAGCACTCTCCCCAAACTCTCTAGAGTGGGCTGTCTCGGCAGCAAAGCAGCGGCACGCCAATCTACATTAGCAAAGGCAGCACTGCTGATGTTGACTCCCTTTGAGCTGCCGGCACTGCTGCCGGTGACGCTGCTGCTGCTTCCCAAAAGGCCACCTGCGCCGGCGTTGGTGGTGCTGCTGCTGCCAAAGAGACCCGTACCCGTGTTGCTGCTGCCGAATAGCCCCCCCGTATTGTTGCTGCTGCTGCCGCCAAAAAGTCCACCGCCTGTGGTACTGCTGCTGCCAAAGAGACCCCCGGTTGCGGGCGCTGCTGCTGCTGGCTTAGCTGCACCAAAGAGACCTCCAGTTGCCCCAGCAGGCGCTGCTGCACCTCCAGCAGCAAAGAGGCTCCCCCCACCCACCGCACCTAGGTTTGACCCAGCAGTGCTGCTGGAGGCTCCCGCAGCAGGAGCAAGGCCTCCAAAGAGGCCTCCTCCTCCTGTGCCAGTGGCTGTGTTGGTGGTGCCGCCGCCAAAGAGGCCCCCACCAGAGACTCCTGTACCTGCAGGCTTTCCAAATAAGCCTCCGCCAGAAGTCTTGTTACCAGCGGTTGCTGCAGTTCCAAAGAGGCCCCCTCCCGTGGTACTGGGGTTGGTCACGGAAGCGCCCCCAAACAAGCCCAGTCCCCCCGTTGAAGGGGCTCCTGTAGAGGCGTTTGTTGCTGTTGAGTTTGCTGGTGCCGTTCCTGTCGCTTGGCCCCCACTGCCGAAGAGGCCTGTAGTCCCGCCCGTCGCTGCAGTGGTCTGGCTAGTGGAGCCGAACAAGCTCCCGCCTGTGTTTGTGGCTAAGGCAGTGGAGCCGAACATTTCTTGTCTCAGTCTTTTCTACGATGCTCAAGAATTGAATCTGAAACTAGTAACTTCTTTCCGATATCCAACACCGAAAAAAGACTCGCCACTGAAGAAGCGCCTGCCTTCGGCCCCAGAAGCAACTTTAAGAAGAGCAGTTGGGCCTCACGAGAACATGCGTGGAACTGGGAAGAGGCCTGCTACAAATATGGCTTGAATAGAGGAGCTGAAGGTGCCAAAGAAGCCCTCATGAAAGTTGGGGTCCTCCACTCTAGAGGGCCCCAACAAGAAACAGCAAAGACCGTGGCGGTTCCATGAGGCCCTTGTGTCTCCTTCAAACCAGAGCCACGTTGCTTAACTTGACAGTTTAAGAGACAAATACAAATATTGCAGCTCCTGTGCTGTAGCAATCTCTGTCTGAAACTTCCAGTCACAAAGATAGATCCACCAAACCACCATTGCACACGATCTCTAGTGGGGGGCCCCAGCCCGCACCTACTTTGCGCAGCGTTTCTGGATGTCGATACTTTCCTGTAGGAGCGTATATCTGCTCAGTTACTCTTAAACGACAGGTCTGTTGATCTAAAATGAAACAGTATTTGGTGATGGAGCTCGTCAGCATGTGACAAAGGGCAACCACCTCCAACCAGGCGTTATTGCACATTGGAATGGCGTAGGTCCTGCGGTACCTATGGTGGATTGCTTGCTTTTAAAAGTTTTGTGAATTCTTTTCGTTCTTCTAGCGGAATACTGCAAGAGCGTTTGGTTCCCGTCAATTACGATTTACTGCAGGCGGCGTACCTGCTTCCTAGTGGAGCGCTGGAAGGCTTGCGATTCAGTATCCAATGCAGTGCCTGTACGGCACTGATTAAGAAAACAAATCTTTGGGACCTATTTTATCCACAATATGGCCTGGACACCAGTACATAATGCAATATGTCCAGTAGAGTCAAGTGCGGCGGTGGCCTGTGGTGGGCGTAGACTAACCACAAAGCTTTGGACCAATAATAACTGTAGTGTGACATGAGGATGCCGAGAAGACACCAAAGTAAACTGGCAAGGTATTGTGGAGTATGTTGCCCTGTGAGAGGGCTAGACAGTGTTCGCGAAGCCGTGCTGCGAGGGTAAGTTTACACAGTAAGCTCAAACTTTACAGCTCAAGAGACACTAACAGTGGCTCGAAAGGGAAATGCTCTGTAGGTTAATATGAGGTGGGCAAACTTTTAGAGAAACTGTACCGCAGGATGGCACTGCATTTTTCCTAATCAGAATAAGAGTGGTGACTCACCGGCACGTGCCTTCACAAGAAAATTGAGCTGAGCGGAGTCTTCTTTCGCCTGCTCTGATATATTAAGTACTGTTTTCTTCCGAATATTTTTATTGTACATGTATCTTCATGGCTGGAGGCTCTTGTTTGCACATGGTTCCCTCCCCTCTGCCCCTTTTCTATCGTGTTTGAGCCGATTCTCCCAGCTAGTGGATGCTTCTATACAGTTAAGCGCTGTTACTGGTGCCCATTTATCTCCTGTATGATATGTCTGGTTTTCAGAACGTTTATTTCCTTTTTGCCTCCCTGTGGCGCCAAAGGTTGCCTGTGGTTCCCAAGCTCGTTTCCCCACCTTTCTCCTAACGTTTTCCAGAAGTGGCTCTTATTTCGATAGCCTGTTATCCGCGTTTTGGCAGGTACGGCACAGCCACGTATACTGCCACATTGCCCGGTGATAGTGTTCACAGGCCCGCGTATCCTACGAGCACTGCCGGGCTGGGCATGCTATGCCTCTCCCTTCAGAATAAGTACTTTTCCCTCTTTCTGCACTTGCGTGTGCCGTTCCTCACGACCCCTTGCAAATAGCTCCTCACAATCGCTTCAACGCATTGACGCATATCCTGCATGGCACTTCTATTCAGCCGTTTGCCAGGGTGTTCGTGGCCGCAATTGCCCACCATCGTTTTCCACACAAATCATGCCACCTGCCATGGAAGATACGTCACCAGCCTGCATCCAGTCAGAGCAAGAAAAGTGTTCTCATGTTTACTAAGCTCAAGCAAAAATATCAGCTACTTGGGGGATAATAGCTCCCCGTGAGCATATGTCACAAAGGTCCGATACGTACAGGATTGCTCTTCCACTTGTTTTCCGTTGTGGATGCCATGCCAGCCCCCTGATATTAGCTGTGAGCTAGGCTGCGCATTGCCCTTTTAACTACATTGGGGCCGTCCATATTATCAGGATCAATGCAGTAGAGTGAAGCCAGTAGTTAAGGGCCGCTGCTGCCGAGTGCTCACGGACGCCAAACGCACAGCAGTTGAACCGGATCCTCGTGCTGCAGTGTGCTGTAGGCGACTGTCCAACGAAGAAAGACTGAGCACATCCCAGTTCCACAAGCTGGAAACGGTGACAAGAAGTCAAAAACGGAACCATTCGTGGCTCTGCGAAGGACTCTCCACGTTACGGAAAAACAGGGACAACTGTGAAACCACCGAGATAACAATGAATTCAACTGACTTAAGAGCTCTTGTCCCTAAACTGGCATTGGCAGAGCAGGATGCTCTTGAAGGGTAAACGGAGCCCGCCTTCTTCGCAAACAAGGTAAAAACAAAGAAAGCGCTCAGTTCATCAGGAGAATCTCAACCCGTAGCAAGGTGTTGCTGCCTAGCCGTCAAATGCATCATAGTGACCGTCTACATCTAAATACAATGTTGAAAAGTGTCAAACCTAGGGAAGCATTGAACGCCTGCGCGGCTGAATTGAAGTGGCTTCCCTCTGCATTGCAGCACTGTGCACACCATCACCCGAGACACTTGTAGGCGGGCCACATGGCGGGCCACATGGCCATTAAACCTCTTCCAGGCTCATCTTTTGCTACGGAAGCACACACTAGCAGAGTCGCTTCATTGGATGCTACCAGCCTGGGCATTTCCCTACGCACTGTATGGCCCATCAATTTGCCCGGTATGGTCTCCATGTGCAGCCAAGGCTCAAGCTTCTGCCTTTGCAGCTCAAACTGACTGCTCAGTCCGTGAAAAATGGTAGTCTCTTGCCTTTCTCTTTCAGTGAATTTTGCACCTCAACTTCCTAGTGTAATCACCCCGCACTGCGGCCCGTAGCTGCAGAGCACAATTTCACCCACAGTTGTAGTTGTGCAGAAGAACACACGCAACTCTTATTAAATTCATGTACTAGGAAGTGCCGCTTAATCAGCCTCTGTGACTTGATTGCGTATAGAGCTACCCTTAAAGATAAGCACAACAGGAATGCCACACTCTGCTTCGCGAGCAGCAATTAAAAATTCCGGATCTCTGTCCATATAATTTTCCCCTGCAAAAACTAATTTGACACGTAGTGCCTGCTTCATTGCAGAATTCGAATAAACGGTGCAGCTTCCTCGCAGAATCTCCCAAGAAGTGCCCGAGGTCAACTACTTCAACACGGGCCTCCGTGCAAAGGCGTAAACGTCCACACTCCGCAGATTGAAACTTTGATATCTTCTTAAACCATCCCATGTATACATTGATAATAGCTCCATAATTCCAGCGACGTCTCACGTTCATATTCAACGCAGCATAAGACAAATCTAGGAATCTAGGAGGAGCAGAACAGCACATGCTTTCCCCTTGAGTATCCCTCCTACGACCGTCGGAACTATAACTTTACTGTCTCTGGTCGGAACTGAACTCTAACTTTACTGTCTCTGGTTTCGGTTTAGACTCATCTAAACACAAATTTAGACTCACCAGAATTATGAAATTACAGCCTGTTAGCTTCTACTGCAAATAGGGCTACTGTAGACGGAAGAGGCAAATGTCTGTCTGTTCGGGGCTGCAGTTCGGGCCTGCAGTAGTCGCCCCATCGTGGTGTTCAGCTCCGCCTTCATTGTTTTGCTTTTCAAATTTCCACGAGTAAAACAAGCTGGCTTTTTGGCTACGGAATCGGGCCGCAGAGATGGTCCATCGGGGGGGCCCTCAGTCTGTCCGACTGTTCGAGTGGGGTTGCTGTACAAACACACTCAACCCCCCGTGCCCTTGCGTAGACTGAAAGCCTAACAGTGTCCACTAGGGACAACCTTAAGTTGTCACAGACCGTATCCGTTGCTACCAGGGACGGTTCTGCCTTGGCTGTTGCCTCTGTCTTGAATACGAATAGGAGAAGACATTGTGATCACCACTGCCCCCTGGATCGACTGCCGTCACTTGCGGCAGACCCAAAGACAGTTGCAGCATCAACAGCATCCTCATCAAAACCGGAGTCAACAGCGACAGCAACAACAGCAGCGGCAGCAACAGCAACTGGCACAGCAAGAAAAGCAACAACAGTGGAAACGACTGTAGCAGCAATTGTGTCTGCAAAATGAACTCTTCTGACACCGAAGACGCGCACGAGATAAGCTCCAGGGAGGAAGAGGCAGAATCAGGGCCTACTTCCAGGAGCGGGGGAGGCGCCAAAAGGGCGAAAAAGACAATTGAAGAGGTATGAAAGACGTGTCCGTATAAGCTGAATAATCGAGATGGTGAATCAAATGGGACTTACACGTCGGTTTGCTTCTATTTATCTTCTCTAGCTACACATGGGGAACAACACAACGATAAGCACAAACTGTAGCTTTAGGATGGCGATCCATACGCATGTATGCCTGCATTTTCGTTTTGTTCGTTCGCTTTTGACCCCGTAGTTTTGTCTTTGAGGTACACTTATGCGTGCGCTACGTGAACTATTTTACATGCTCTCACTAAATAGTGAGCGCAAAATGCTTGTTGAGAAAGGAAGGTTAGGCGGTGGTCAAGAATCCCGCCCCTCACTCTACTTCGGTATCTGCGGTACACCTCATTCTTCGTTCCAAACGCCTTCAAAGCCATTTTTGTTTCCTTTCATAATGGTTCAGAGGTACCAGAAGAAGTCGCAACTAGAGCACATTCTATTGCGCCCGGACTCGTACATCGGCAGTACGGAGATAAGTTCCCAACAGCTATGGGTGATGCCTGAAGGGGAGCCGCGAATGCAGCAACGAGTCATATCGTTTGCTCCGGGGCTCTACAAAATAGTTGACGAGATATTAGTTAATGCAGCAGATGTGAAGGCGAGAGAAACAGAGGGCGGCGCGGCGCCAAGGGCGAAAATGACGGCTATCAAAGTCAACGTGAACCAGGCCGAGGGAACTATCCGTGTATGGAACGACGGAGACGGTGCGTCTTCCCCTCTGTTTCCTCCCCTGTAAAATATTTGCGTTGTTTATTTTGTTCTGCATGATTCAACATGGCTTTCTGGCTCGAAGAAGTAGAGCTAAGCATTCATCCAAAAACCTGCTTGCCTCGTTGGTTGTGCCTGCCGTTTGCTTCCCGTCGTTTCCTATAGTGGACGCTCTGCATCTCCAATGGCGCCCCCAAAAAGCCTCTGGCGCAGAAGACGTGTGGTGCGTTTAGGTATTCCCGTCGCGATTCACAAAGAACACAAGGTGTACGTTGCGGAGCTGATCTTCGGTCAGTTGCTCACTAGTGACAACTACGACGACACAGAGGCCAGAGTGACGGGAGGCCGTAATGGCTTTGGCGCCAAGTTGACGAATATATTTTCTACATATTTTGAAGTCGAATGCGCAGACAGCAAGAGAAACAAGTGAGCCGATATCGCTTGATTCTTTTCTGTCGTCGCTATGTTTTCACCACCAGTGTCCTGCCTTATGCACTTTGTCCCCCCATCCCGCGTTTGCTTGGTTGTATTTTTTCCTGCATATCTCTGTGCCTTTTCGCCTCTGTCTGCCCTTGCCTTTGGCTTCATAGACCTAGTGGTTTGGCAGTTCCAGGTTTTCGCTCTTAACTTTTCCCTGGCTATAGTGACGGAAGTGTAATTATGTGCCTCTTCCCTCGTTGTCCATGACACAGCATCATCTTAGTCAGTATTTTCTCCATCTTTTCGCTATGCTTCGATTTGGTGCCATCGAGCTCAGCTGTTTGTTTGCTGCTCTCTTCGTTCGGTCAATCCCTCTGCTTCTCCACTTGTTTCTGCCGTCTCTTTGTCGCATTATCCATGCTTGATATCGCATGTAGCTCTTGCCGGCTGCATCTGGCCCTCAGATTGTTGTGTTTCGGGGTTCCCCTATTCTCAGAAAGATTAAGGTTGTGTGGACCGACAATATGAGCAAACAAGATCCTCCGGTCATTTCGCCATTTAATGGGACGGGCGACTACGTGGCCGTTAAATTCAAACCTGACCTTCGCCGTTTTGGGATAACGACGTAAGAAGGATGCTCTTTGTTGCATGCCGAGGTTTCATTTCCCAACACCTGCAAAACTGCTTCCCGAGTGCACACGCAAGTGGTTGTCGAGTCGTCCGTCTGTTGTATCTTCGTCGCAGGCTTGATGACGATTTGATCTCTTTGCTACGAAAAAGGTGCTACGATCTGGCTGGCACTGCAGGAACTGCTGTTTACTGGAATGGCATGCGTTTACCAGTACGCAACTTCGTAGAATACGTAGACCTGTACCTTGGGGAAAGCCCATCAAGAAAGAGAGGGAGCAAAAGCAAAGGTGGAGGACGAAAGAAGAGAAAAAAGAAAGGCAGTGACGGTGAAAGTAGCGACTCCACGGGAGAAGGGACAGAGAATGACACAGAGACTGCCCAGGATGGAGACAAGGAGAACGAAAGGCCGCCTGAAAGGCAGACAATTAAAATTCACGAAAAAATGCATAGATGGGAAGTCGTTATTAGCCAGACGGGTCGGTCGCGTGTAAACACGTTTATTAGAGATGTTCAAGCACACGCAGCCTGAAGGACTAGGCAGAAACGGAAAAAAGCTGAATGGGCAGCACAGTAGTAACTGATCACATGTGTGCTGTGGACACTGAGACTGAAAGACATGCGTTTCCAGTGTTCCTGATGCTGTGGCTCACTTCGCTATATTGTACGCAGACGGCAGCGCGTTTTCTCAGGTGTCATTTGTCAACAGTATTTGTACGCCTAAGGGGGGCCACCATGTAAATCACGTCATAGAGCCGCTCTTGGCGGCCTTAGTTAAGAAGGCGAACGCCAAAAATAAAGGAGGGATGGAGATCAAGGCCGCGCACGTGAGGTCGGTATCACGCCGTGGCGCCGGGGACTATGATAGAACAACGTGATGTCTTTCAGCTTGCTAATCAAATGATAGCAGGATGCCACTAGGCATTAACGCGTAAGACCGTGTGAATATAGATAATGTGTTGAAACGGTACATAGCTAGCCCGTCAGATTTTCGTGACTCAGGCAGCACCTCTGGGTATTTGTCAAATGTCTTATTGAGAACCCGGCATTCGACTCGCAAACAAAGGAGACGCTAACCACGACTGTTTCTCGCTTTGGGAGCAAGTGCAATTTGTCAGAGCGGACAATAAACGCTGTCGCTAAATCTCCTATCTTAGAAGGGGTTCTCTTGTGGGCACAGACAAAGGCACAGGTACAGCTCACCTACGCGACGAGACCCCATGCGGTTTTATTCCTTTGCGGGTTTCAGTGCTAGTCAACAGTGCGTACAGAATCGACGACACTCGTTGGAGTATGCTTGAGCTGTATGCTTGGCTATCTAGACAGATGCATGAATATCTTGATTAGGTTGAACTGAGGCGTCAGATGTCAGTGGGAAAGACGAAAGGCAGAGAACGTCTCACGGGCATTTCCAAACTTGAGGACGCTAACGAGGCGGGTGGGCGCTAACTGTGTGTGGCTTCGTGCGTTGCATCCCCTACGCAAGAAAATTTTTTCGTGACCGCTCACAGTTAGCTTCGCAGGGCTTTGAGCACCGTTGGCGCATTGGCCTGTGCAAGAAGTTGCGCACGTGTTGCAGTATAGCCTTGGCGCAGCCACTGGTGTGTCCCGTGGCCATTTAGAATGCTTCACTTGCATCAACAGCCCAGGGGTACCGACTTACGTGCTTCTTTGATGTCGTGCACAGCGCAGCCGAGCCAGTCAGTGACGCTGCATCATGCTAGACGGCCGCAGTGCCAATTGGTGACGCAGGGGGCCGTTATGCCCAGGAGTGCACTTTGATCCTGACAGAGGGTGACAGCGCCAAAACGTCTTGTCTTGCGGGCCTTTCTGTCGTTGGCAGGGATAAATATGGCGTGTTTCCGCTTCGGGTAAGTTGCACGACCGCAGAGCCCTTGAGGTATTATATCTGTCGCCTTGGCATTGCATTAAGATTTGCACTTTGAGGGGAGAATCCGCACTAAATGATTCATATGATCAAATTTCCACTGTGAGTACTATGTATGCTGGTATATTTAACCTGCATTACACTGCAGTCTCTAGAGTCCCTTTGTACTTTGTTTGCGGAAAGGCGAACGCAGAACGGTTTGGCCTGGTGAGTTCCTTCAGGGGAAGCTGCTAAATGTGCGCGAAGCATCATTCAAGCAGCTAAAGGAGAATCGAGAAATACAGAACATCCTCAGAATTCTTGGACTGCAGATTAACGATAAGTTGCAGGACGCGCGGGGCTTGCGTTACGGATCCCTCATGATCATGACGGACCAGGTAAGTCTTGCACTGTGCTTTGAATTGGATGCAGAGCTTTATGTCTTTGCGAGGTTTGATTCAGACAAATTATTCGTGTAAGTTTTGCCTAACTGAGCGATAGCGGGGAGCCAGCGGGGTCTAAGGCGTGCATTTGCTTCGCCTGCGCAGTGTCCCTACAGGACTATGATGGGTCGCACATAAAGGGGCTTCTCATCAACATGCTCCACCACTACTGGCCCCAGCTGTTGCAGTGCAACCATTTTCTCACCGAGTTTGTCACACCCATTGTCAAGGTGAAACCGTAGTACAGATCCTGACAGCGGCACTTGGGCAAAATACACGCAAGCATCACATTTTTGTTCATCCATGGGGTAATCTAGGAACTTGTTCTGACTGCTCCCAATGCAGGTATCGAAGGGGTCGGTCGAAAAGGCATTTTTTACCCTCGTTGAATATGACATGTGGAGGAAACAGGCGGGAAACCTCACCGGTTGGAAGATAAAGTACTACAAAGTCTGTCACGTCTGACAAAGGCGCAGATGGTCGAAAGAATGTGCACAGACTAGGCATGGTACAATACGACTAGTCCAGTCAGTATCTGCGTAAGCTGGGCATTCAATCGTGTTGAGTGGCTGCAGGGGCTGGGTACTTCCACCGACAGAGAGTTTAAGGACTACTTTCAAGCACTGGATAAGCATCGAATCAGATTCCGATGGACAGGCAAGACATTGCACACAGGCTTCTGTTTGAGATTTTTTGTGCTCAGTGCCTTTCTCATGTCAAAGCTATCTCATGCTCCCCAAAGTCGCAAGGGGGCTGTCTGTATGGTCAATAACCAGTGCTGATTCAACACTTCTCCATGTGCGTGGCTCATTCTGTATTTTCCCTTCGGTTTGCAGGCACCGGAGATGGAGAGTTGATCGATATGGCCTTCAGCAAGAAACGTGCAGAAGATAGAAAGCGTTGGCTGCAGGGTTATCGTGAGGGCACCTTTGTTGACCATTCAGTGAGGGAATTGACGTTCTCCGACTTCGTAAACAAGGAACTTGTTCAATTCTCCAGATACGACAATGAGCGTTCCATCCCTCAACTTGTGGATGGCTGGAAAGTCGGGCAGCGCAAAGTGCTGTTTGCAGTTTTCAAGAAAAATACGAAGGCTGAATTGAAGGTCGCCCAGTTGTCAGGCTACGTAGCCGAACAGAGTGCTTACCACCACGGAGAACAGTCCCTGCAACAAACTATCATAACCATGGCGCAGCGGTTTGTGGGCAGCAACAACCTGAATTTCCTTGAGCCTGTTGGACAATTCGGTTCGAGGAAAGAAGGAGGGAAAGATGCGTCTGCACCGCGCTACATCTTCACCAAACTCGCGCCGTACACTCGTCTAGTCTTCCCTGAGGCAGACGACCCACTGCTGGAGTACCTTTATGAAGAGGGTCAAAAGATTGAGCCCAAGTATTATGTTCCTGTCATTCCAACTGTGCTTGTCAATGGGAGCGAAGGCATCGGAACAGGGTGGTCTTCCTTCATCCCCAACTATAACCCAAAAGATATTATCTCTAACTTGAAAAGGTCAGCATTCCTCACCACACCGCAACATGCCACGTGGAAAAAACGTCAAAACACATATGCTCACCTTCCACAAATTTTTGTGAGGCTGGACGCTGTGCCTTTGAAAGGGTCGTAGATCCATGCGGTAAGCGCATTTTCTTCTGCTGCTTGTTCATGAAGATTCATCGCGGGAGAGGAGATGGTTCGAATGAAGCCATGGTACAGGGGGTTTAAGGGCATAATTGAAGAAAACGCGACCAAAACTGCATTCGAGACCATTGGCATTATTGAGAAGAAAGGGGAAGATATCATAGAGATTAGCGAATTACCCATCAAGCGCTGGACGCAGGTACGCTCCGGTAGATATTAACTTTACACTCACCAGAAGTTAAAGAAAAAAGCATTTACACGTCATCCTAAAAGAAGGGTCTGCTGATTCCTAAGCTTTACTACAGCAAGGCTCATTATTGCAGTTGGACTGCAGGTGCTTTTCGGATTCGACTGCAGGATTACAAAGAATGGATCGAAGAGCAGCTGCCAGCACCCGACAAGAAGGATCCTTGGATTTTCGACTACAGGGACAGCAGCAGTCATGAAGACATTAAGTTTGTTGTTAAGCTTTCGGCAGGTGAAAAGAAGGGCCTGTCGCAGGCTTTGCGCAACAGCTCAGTTTCGTTCTCACCAGTCATACGTAGCAAATTAGCACAATTTGAAGGACCGTCTGAGGTGCTAGCTTTTGATTGGTTATGCCTTTAGATGTTTCGCTATCGTTTCAGAGCGCCTTGAGGGGGCCGATCATGAGGGCCTTGTGAAAATGTTTCGTCTCAAATCTTCCTTAAGTACCCAAAACTATCACCTTTTCAATGCTGAGGGGAAGGTTCAAAAATACGCTGATGAACTTGAAATCATGAAGGCCTTTGCTGCCATTCGCTTGGCATTCTATGAGGTAAGTCATCCGCACCCTTTCTTTCCTCCAAAGAACCACAATCATCATATCTTTGACGGATGGACATCTTCCCATACTTAGCATTAGGCAGAATGGATCCTAGCGTCAGTTGCCACTACGCAGTACTTCAGCCCCGGCGCAACTAAGCAGGAAACGTAGCAACTTACATATATAGGCCTCTGCAATAGAAAAAGGCTGTGATGTTCTTATGATTGCATTGCGCGGCGCCGCAGAAGCGGAAAGCTTATCTCATCGCCGTGTCGGAGAAGGAAAGATCTATTATGCACAACAGAGTTCGCTTCATCAGTTCAGTCCTTTGCGGAGAATTGGTTGTGAACAACAAGCGCCGTCAAACTTTAATAGAGGAGCTATTCGCTAAGGCAAGCAGTTCTACAGGAACTGTAGCTCTTTCGTTGTTCTCGATTTTCTCACGCTCACCGCGCAGTAGCAGACATCATGCGGCCGAAATATCGAGCGTATAGGATTGTTTTAGCCATAGGGTTGTTTTAGATCCAGGCTCACGATTTAACGCCCGTGCCTGGAACAGGCACTGTCCGGTTTGTTTTAAGGGGTATGACCCCATGAGGGAACTGGAGAAGAAATGTGCATGTCTCATTGAGAGCATCCTCAAACGTGAGACCCCCCAAGAGCATGGCTTGTCCGTGAGTTGTATATGCGATTCGTTTGCACTCTGCAGTTGCTTTTGGGCACTAGCACTCTAATGGAGTCTAGTTCTTGTCATGCCTATTTATCTGGGGAAAAAACACGTCGGGTGTACATATATCATTGTACACTGTGCATGTGCTCAGGAAAAAGAAAGTGCCGATGAAGAGGTGCCGACTGCATGCGGTTGTATAGGCTCGGACTTTGACTACCTCGTTGGGATGCCTCTGTGGAGTCTAACGACCGAGAAAGTAATCATGACTCGTGCGACAATTACTCTCGTTGTGTTCAGTCATAAATACACCAGCGAAGCTTTGTGCCTGTTTTCTTCTGTCTGTCATGTACCTGAGGAGGACTATCTGTAGATGCGCATAAACAGTAAATAAAGTACCTCGGTATGTAGCAGGAGGCCCGTGATTAAATCAGCAGCAAGAGGCAGTTCGCGGCTCAGGCCTTGCAGTTCTCAAGCTTGGCCGAATATGGGGAAAAGCACCCTGAGGGAGGAAGAACGCCTGTAGTCTCCCGCCTTAGCTTTGTCCTGCGCAGCAGCTGCATCGTTCATGACCAAGCCACCAAAAGCACAAGCACCTGAATTTCCTCTTTTCGTCCTCCGTATCTGTGGATGCAGGTTGAAGATTTGAAGCGGCAGCTGCGCGACAAAGAAGTTGAGCTTGAGAATCTTCGGCAGACAGACATCCGCACCTTGTGGTTGAAGGACTTAGACGCCCTTTTAGAAGCGATTGAGAAGCAGGTGATGCGTGGGGGACAACTATTCGTTCCAGCACAGCAGCATTCCCTGGGGAGATGCCCTGCATGTTCAAAGTGAGGCCGGCCTGAGCGCTTACGTTCGCGTCCGTGCCTTTGTGACCTACGTGTCTATAGGAAGTTGCTGATCAAAAGCAGAGAGAAGCGGACCTTGCCTTCCACAAGCATTTGGAGAACAAGAAAGGCCTGAAGGGTCTCACAGCTTTTAAGGGAAAGCCGAAGGCAGTGAAAGGAGGTGCACCCAAAGCAGCACCCAAAGTGGGGAGCGCCAAGTCGACATCCAAAGCCCGTAAAAAGGTGCCAGTTCACCTCAGCTTTGCTCGCCAGCTCCATCCTGAATACTTTGCAGGCTTTTGACATCAGGACTTAATTTGGCTGCCACGTGGGACAAAGGAATCTGGTCGCACCGCTGTTATGTTGATGCAAATATGCAGGCAAAGCCAAGCTCTGACGAGTGTGTGGGCTCCTCAGATGATTCAGATGAGTCTTCAGATGAAGTGAGCCTTCCAGACGATTCTTCTGAAGAGGATCGGCCTTCCAGGAAGCAGGCGAGACCTCAGCAGGCTCCGACAACGAACGAAGTGAAGCCACAGGTGTCTTCAAGGCCTACTGCTGCGTTACCGACAGCTTCAGATGGACACGGCTTCGCATCGTTCTTGCAGTCACATGAAACTGCAAAGGCGACAACGGGGAAGGAAGAAAACACCCCACAGGCGCCAGCCGTTCGACCTCCACTTCAGTCGCTGTCGCTTCTCGACCGACTTAGACTGGGAGGAGGGAATTCTTTCTCTTCAGCCGCTCCCATTAGAACTAAACAACTAACCCTGGACGAGATATTTGCACCTACGGGCAGCAGCGCGGCCAAACCCTCAAATTCTCCAAAGGCTGCTCAGCTCGTGCCCACCAGCGCGGCACACACCATGTGAGCAATCTTCGTTCAGCTGGGAAGAATTTGTGCATGTGCAATAGCCATCCACTACCACTGAAGCCGAATTTCGCATAATTGGGTCGCTAATGATCGCGTCTGTATGCAAGAAGTAGGTTGCCTCAGAGTCTCATTGCGTGTTCTGTCTCGCATGCACTCAGAAACGGACCTTCGGCGCCGACTCCTGATGCAGCTGCTCTACCTGAATCTGCAGACCCCACTACGGATCATTCTGTGACCAAAACGCCGCCGAAACCCAAGAGACGCAGGGTGCTGGCGGACTCCGATGATTCGGATTCCTGTGTAAAGTCCGGAAGAAAAGCGAAGTCGTCAACTCCTATGAAGTCCGCGCAGTCAACACCGCAAAAGCCCAAGCCTCGAGAAACTCCAAAAAAGCGGCAATTCAGGAATGATGATGCTATATGCCCTGCCACAGACGACGGTAAGAGAAGTACATCGTTGCCAGCAGACTGCTTCTCAAAGCCATGGTCGAATACCTGGCTGGGCTCCATTTTCGTATGTTTTTTATAGATGCAGTATGTCTTCGTTGTAAGTTTTTCACGTGGTTTACAGCTGTGGGGAAAGACCGTGCATCTTTTGCTATTTTTTCTCCAGATTTGGGCGTGGAAGTATCCCCGATCGCGTCTAACAGGCCTCGTCGCGCGGCGGCGCAAGCGCCGAAGAAGTACACCGTAGACTCATCGGATTTAAGCGGAGACAGCGATGCTTCTGAAGAAGCTTCGGAAGCAGAAAGTGTTTCGGACAGCGATGAGTAGATCCGCGGAAGAGTGGGACGAGTTTCGCCATTGTGCCTACGGACAGGATTTCCCCCGTTCAAAGTGCAGCAAAACACGATCGCGTTTGCAGAGGTACTAGATTGCTAGATCTGACTCATTTTACATGGTCTTGATTCAACATGTAGCGCTTGCCCTTGCCTGTTGCCACTGGACGTTAATTTATTCACTTCTGGAACCAAGGAGCTGTCCTGCAACGCGCAGTCAGTGGCTTTTGAACGATTGAAGCCAACAGCTTCATCAGTTGAATGCCTGTACGAAGGCACCTGTACAGGGAGCATCCGCGACGAAGAAACGCCTACCCGCACTGCAACTGAAGTGGCGAGCGGCTACCAGGAAAATACCCCCGCATATTAGCCTGATCCCAACGTGCACCCAAGGTACCGTTCACGATTACGCCAAAATACCTGAACGTTCTCGTCACAGGCAGAAGATGAAAAGCTTATACGAATACTTCTAAACATAGCATTTCCTCCTTGGGCCAGAAACAGTGGGATGCTCCAGGCTGCGGGTGAATACCTCTCCATATGAAGCATAAATCTCGGAACCCTTCAGCACCTTCGCAGTAGTTCGTAGTAAGACGCGCCTGAAAATTGGCAATGAACGTGTTTGCCTGCGTGAATTGGTTCCAAGCGCACTGTAACGCCGGGACGCCTGCGGTCGGCGGGGGCTGCAAACGCACCTTTCTTGTTTGAACTTGACAAATTCGGCGTTCAAGGCGCATTTGTTACCGTTGTCATTGACATACCTTGCGAATACCTAACGCACACCGCGCAGCCTTGCGTTCTTATGATGCTATCTACGCCGCTTGCTACTTCTTTTTGCAGATCGGGCGTGCGGGTCATTAATTACGACAATGATGGGCATGGGAGATACGCAAAACACGCCTGCAGAACTTGCCTTTGGATGCATCGTAGCATCTATGTGGCAGTTAATATGTCCAGTACCCATAACATATTGTCTGTCTTCCAACCGCAGCAGTTGCCTGCATAATGCACCATCTGCACTCGCCGAAGACTACTTCCGTTAGGCTGAATCTCTTTACTTTCTAATGTGTATCAGTCCGACACCGCTGCCGACTAATGGACAGAAACAAGGGCCCCGAATATCAGCTTTAATTCCCGAGCTAATCCTCCTGTAGCGGAGGCCCACATTAGGCTCTTCCTGTCTCCGAGGTACTCGCAAATCCATGTCCCCGGTGCGATATCTAAGGCAATCGAAGGCAGGGATGTAATGGCCTTAAAAGAACACGAAAGAAAAACCCATTCTTTGGAGCAACGTGCATCGGAGCTACAACTGTCACCAGAATGCACCATAGTGGGTATTTCCTGTCACTGAAGCAACAGCACACTGTTGGTCAATAACTGTCATCAACCGCCTTGTTTCCCCTCACCCTCTCCAGCAAAGAGTCCTAAGCCTGCGCCGGGGATTCGTGAAGCATTAATAACGAGGGCACCTTCTGGTAGAAAAGACCCGTTGGCACTGTTTGACTTTTGTGGAAACTTATCAAGCTGGCTCGATTTCATTTGAAGCGTTGTCAACTTCACGATGAGCAGTCGATTGAGGGCGCTCAACAAGCAGCAGACCAGGAGTATCGTCAAGTGAGAACGTTGGAACTACAGAAGTTTCAGTTTCATGTCTTCCCAACAAGTAACCCAGCTTTTCTGATCATGCAAAAAATTGCGAACTGAGGAACGGGATCATCGCCTCTCATCGTTAACAAAGTACTAGCTCATGAGAACGCAGTTTCGTCTCTACTGATCGGCAACATAAAAGCGACAGATCGTTATTGCCAAAAGAACAGCCTCTTTGAAATACAATTTATGGCGCCTTCGCGTGCTTCCTGCTGAGGAGGTCCACAACGGGCCGTCATCGTGCTGGTTGTGTAGAGCGGGGCTTCACACTGATACCACACACTCCTCAGCATCCAAGCGTCATATTATGTATTATGGGCAGGTTTACAGCTCGAAATTTTGCCTTAGCGTCAGGCTGTACTCGTATAGAGGTGCACAAAACCAAAGAATTCGGTGCATTCCTTCGACAAGCAGTAACCGCCCCTCGGACAAACTTCAGTTGGCTATCGTGGTTGTTTGGGGTTTGGATAAATTGTTCCCATGAAAGATAGCCCTTGTGTATGAATGAGCAACGTGTGTGCTTAGGGTTTGGTTCTCGTTTGGCACAATATGTGATGCGCTGTGTAACATCACAAATTCTATAACAGCGTTCTTCGCGTGACGCGTTCGGTAGTCACATCAGAAATAAGCCCCCTAAAATCGAACTTCAAAATTAATATGAGAAAGAGTTTATTGAGAACACATAGTAGGAGGTGCAAGCCCCAAAATGCTATGTACAGGAAGCAGTGACTTATCTTGAGCTCAGCTACATCTGGGCGTCGGCATATGGAGCGCGCATAGCCCACCCTAGTTTCCAAAAGCCTGCGGCTCGCTCCACAATCGAGAATTTAAAAAGTATAAGTGTCTATTCTGTTTGCTGTATCTGCTAAGGGCACCTGGCCCAACAGCGTTTTCGGACTGCAGCGGGAGAGAAAGCACCTGTACAGACTGAGGCTTTACGTAAAACCCCAAAAAGGACTCCACAAGACGGCACTAGACAAGCGGTTATGTGAGGCAATATTCAAAGGGGTTGACCCAGAAAACCACAGCAATGAGGCTTAAGTTCATGCAGGATAACGCCATGGGGACGCAGTACTCCTCAGCGGGCCTGATGATTAATACCTCTCTTGCATGTGTAGTAAACACAATGTATGGTTTTTTCGTCGAAGTCTTGAACAATTCTAGCCCCCACATTGAAGCGCTGGAAGGCCACGACTACTTTCGCCCCCACTACCCGAGAGGAACGCGTCCAGTGTTTCTCGCGAAATGCTTTCCTGGCCTGGGCCACTTTACCCAGATCATTTTATTGGAGCACTGGCCCACGAAGTGCACAAATTGTGAGCACTCGGGGCCTTTTCAGTAATGCAGGCTTGGCTAGCCCTGTCCCTATCATTCGTTAATTAGGGGCGAAAAAGGCTTGAGGTCCTCGTACGCTTTGAAGAAATCTGAAGGTATTCGAACGACCGCACTGCAGTAAATGTGCTCATGAACCATACTAAGCCAGTTCTAGTGGCTAGATTCAGTGTTCGCGCGTACTCCCTACGAGAGACTAAGGCTCTGGCGGGCGCCCCTCTATCACCTTAAGGTGACTGTGCCATGAGCTGTCTGAAAAGTGCGATGACTATTTGCAGGCATCAGAGTCGGTCTTGTCAAGCATCGGAAAGCTTAGTTCCGCTCTCCCAGGCGTATTCAGAGGCAGACTTCCTCGATACCCGCTGTAATGAGAGGTATGGCCACGTAGATTCTCAAAGTTTCCCTCCAAGCATGCAAAGGAGCACTGCTGTCTATATTTCTTCGAGACATCGGGGCATGCACCAAAAGCATGAGGGGCAGTTCCCTTTCTCAGCTCTGGGAAAATCAAACGTAAAGCAACTGCCTTCACTCTTCCGGTATTTATCGGGCAGCTGGCGACATCACTGACACTGCCAGCCACAAATGCTGGGCCTAGCTGTAGAGAGTCCTGAGCCAGATCTGCTGCACAACAAACTTGCTTCGTGTTACCTATTTCCTAGTGCATTTGGATTGTCATTGTTCTGAATTGTACGACGGACGAAGGTTGTTTCTTCCCAGCATGGTACTACACGTGCTGTCTCTTCGTTCGCTCCACCCCGCAAGCCAGAAGCTTGCGATAGATGAAGGGCCCTCTTCCTCAAAATATGCTCACTATCACAGAAGTTGGTTACATAGGTTGACTTTTCAGCTTAATTTAGTACGGGCATGACAACGGAATCCGCTGCCGAGGTTCAGGTGACTCATGTGTAATACTGTTGGCCAGAAAGGAGCGAAAAAGTGTAGGGGGGAGGTCCATAAACTGGAACAATTACATCCAACATACACATTTGCATCATATATGAAAAAAACAAAGGTCTGGGTGTGGATAGACCCTGTGGGATCTGCATCTAGTCCCCGCGGATTATAGCCACCAGCCAGAAACCCTGGGGCGAGCAGGGGTTCTGTGCTCGCCTTGTAGTCATGGACTCTATTTTTAGTGTCTCAAAGTGTGCTCTTCATTGGCATTTTCCCCTTTTTACTCTTTTTTTGAGACATCAGAAGAGTTTCTAGGCTAACCGGCTGTGAAGAAAAAGGAGCCAATCACGGCTCGGTTCGCTCCAAGTGGTGATACTATTTTGGATTCATGAAATGTTTCGCACCTCTCTGTAGAGGCACTCGACACCATAACAGACTCAGCGCCACCCGGCGAGGACATGTGACGCTAGAGTCTCGCAGTATTAGTGACAAAGGAGCATTCAGAAAAGTCTGCAACGGAGAACTCCACACAACGGGAATCCACCTCAGTCACTATACACAGCAAGCAAAACAATCAGAAGAGGAATTGACGAAGGCGCTGAGGCAGCGTGCGAGACGGGGACCATCTCCTGGGGAAGAAGTACAGCTACTATGCAGAAATAAATCTACACATGCCCACAAAGAACTGATTGCGGAGTTTGAGCTCCTACGAAAGATGTCAAGTTAAAAGCGCTTGAGAAAAACAAATTCAGAGCTCCACCACGAGCGAGGAAGCACTATTACCTGACTTTTATTTCACTGGGGAGACCCACTTCTCTCATGAGCGCGTGGTCATACTGAAGTTACACAGTACGCAAGGGCAGGCACTTCCTTACTTTCCTTACAATATTTTTCGCCGCAACTGATGTGCACTATCTGCTCCTGTGCTTGTTCAGGAACATAGCTTACGTTACCCCCACGCTCCTCCTTCACGCTCCAGTTCACCGTCCAACAATAATCCAGACGACACTCTGTTTGTGTTTCAGGCAGGGAATATCTTTACATCACTGGAGGGTTCGTTCTTCCTTTCTCTTGGGATATATAGCTTTTTTCTCCAGCTATAACTGTATTCTATGAGGTTGT